TTTATTGCTATTGTTCCTTTGGCAAGCCACCTGCCAAGTCGCAAATTGCTTTTCTGAGTTTGACCCACCAGGTGGCTCAGAAAGATCAACGTACTGCTAATTAGTTTGAGGTTCTAGTAGCAGTAAGATTGCCCTCACTTGCATTGGCAAACAGTAAGCTTAGGTTTATCAACCTCTAATTGGTAGAAAGTGAAAGTGATAAGAAACAGAACATTTCTCCTCAATGTTAATGTGGAGGAAAGCAAACTTTTACACTTCGGCAGAATAAACCAAAGGTGCAAGTATAGGTTAGGTCAGTGATGGCGAACCTTTTAGAGACCGAGTGCTCAAACTGCAACCCAAAACCCACTTATGCATCGTTGAGTGCCAGGTGGGTGTGGCCCATTGGGTGGGTGTGGCCTATTGGGTGGGTGTGGCTGTGGTGGTAATGGCAGTGTCATGGTTCCGACTAATGAAACACTTCAAAGAACTTCCAGGCATGTTTATCCTAAAGCCTTTATTACCAGTGTTACAAATTGATGGCACATCATGGAGGTTTATGCCAGAATCTGAATTCCTCTTGCTGGCATCTAACTTTTCTTGCTAAGCCCCTCCCTTATCTTGCAGTCACAAGTCACATCTTCCAATTAGCCCAGAGGGCAGAGATTCCCTTCCTGTTCCTCTTCCCGGGCTTTTGTTATTTCCCCTCCCTTTTCTCTGTCGTCTGAATTAACTCTAAAAATACCAGACAGTTCTGCATATTTTGTCAAAGCAAGAATATTCAATATTAGCAGTGTTGGCAGGCAGACTGGGTGGGAACTAAAAGGTTCAATCAATTCTAACTTTGCAAGATCTTTTTTTTTCCCCGCGAGAAGTTGAAATTGACTGATTGAACCTTTTTTTTTATTGCACATGGCGGCGGAGGCCTAAAGTGAAAAGATTTTATAAAACCCAGCTGAAGGCCTAGGACTGGGGTGACGGCATGCGTGCCCAAAGAGAGGGCTCTGAGTGCCGCCTCTGGCACCCGTGCCATAGGTTCACCACCACTGCCCTATACCATTTCAGACAAATGGTTGTCTGGCTCAAAAACAGTAACTGTGAGAGGAACCTTGGAGTCCTAGTGGATGATCACTTAAACGTGAGTCAGCAGCCAAAAAAGCCAATACAATCCTTGGTTGTATAAAGAGAGGCATAGAATCAAAATCGCGTGAAGTATTAGTGTCCCTTAATAAAGCTTTTGTAAGGCCACACCTGGAACACTGCATCCAGTTTTGGTCACCCCATTACAAAACAGATGTTGAGACTTTGGGGGGAAAAGTGCAAAGAAGAGCAACTCAAGTGATTAAAGGCCTGGAGACTAAAACATATGAAGAACAGTTGCAGGAATTGGGTTTGGCCAGTCTAGAGAAAAGAAGGAGTAGGGGGGACATGATTGCAGTATTCCAATATTCGAGGGGTTGCCAGAAAGAAGAGGGGGTCAAATTATTCTCCAAAGCACCAGAGGGCAGGACAAGAAGCAAGGGATGGAAACTAATCAAGGAGAGAAGCAAGCTGGAATTAAGGAGAAACTTCCTAACAGTGAGGACAATTAACCAGTGGAATGACTTGCCTCCAGAAGTTGTAAGTACTTCCATCACTGGAGGCTTTTAAAAGAGACTGGACAGCCATTTGTCTGGAATGGTTTACGGTCTCCTGCCTGAGCAAGGGGTTGGACTAGAACAGGGTTTTTCAACCTTTTCGCCCATTGTACCACTTTTAGGATATGGCAACATCTGAGTACCACCAGTCGCCTAGCAAAGTGTCAAAAACTTGATGACCCCCCCCAAAAAGGAAAAAAGTGATGAAGTATAGGTAGTCTTCGACTTACAACAGTTCGCTTAGTGACTGTTTGAAGTTACAATGGCACTGAAAAAAGTGCCCCCCAAGCCACAGCCGAGCAAGACACCTGCCTGCCCACTTGGCGGCACTCTTCCTCCTTTTTTCATTGTTGTGAGCATTTCTGTTGAGGATTGGCAGTGGGGGTGGGGTGGGGGGTGTTTAGTTTTTATTCCCTCCATCTGCTGGGTGGTTGCAGCAGGTTTTGGTCACTTCACATGACCCTGGGACACTGTGACCGTCATAAATATGTATCAGTTGCCAAGCATCTGAATGTAAATCACAAGACTCTGGAGAGGCTGTAACATTCCAGCTGATTGGTGCGTCTTCTGGGCTCAGCAGAAGCGCCAGGATCAGCGCCAAGCTCCAGCTGGAGCCTGGTGCTGATCCTGGCACTTCCACTGAACCCTGACAGTCCCAAAGAAGCACTGATCCTGGCGCTTCTGCTGAGCCCTGACAGCCCCATAGCTCCAACCGTCTCTCGCTCAGGCTTGTGCGTTGCTGCCACCGGTTCAGCTCATTCCCCTTCCCCACTATCACTTTTCTAGGATGGTCACGTACCATCTGCCAGGTGCCAATGTACCACAGGTGGTACCCATACCACTGGTTGAAAAGCCCTGCACTATGACTCCCAGGTCCCTTCCAGCTCTGTTCTGACTGAGAACAAATTAGGGGCATTGGATGGAAACAATGAATTCAGATGATCTTAGAAATCATCATTTATTCATTTTTAATGATGCAAGCTTATATCATGCCTCTCGCAAGTAATATTTGCAAACGAGATTTGAAGCATGGCAAATGAATGCTATTTGAAACCTCTGTACAGTCATTAACTATCGGTTTAATATAGGAAATTATATCAACGATTTGTTTGTATCTAGTTCGTGGATTACACCTCTCCGAGCGGCAGCTCCCGATGCTTTACATAGATTTTAAGCTGTCATTATCTTTTATTAGCATATAGCCTTTAAAAAAATAATTAGCGAGCCCATCACGGTCTCCTTAACGTAATCAGAACTAGATAGCTAGAATATTTCTTCCCAAATCAAATCCATTATTTACGCTTAGTTTGAGTTCAGCTATATTACTTATTTTTTTTTAATGAACTTTATTTATATAGGCTGTCCACAGGATTTGGGCAAAGTCCAAGTTCTGTGGCAGATTAAGGGAACTGAGCTGCGATCCACCTGTCCTAACCAAAAACCATCTGGCCTCAATTTGTCATACTGGAGGGCAATCGTGACACCCAAAAGCAGTCTAATTGTTTTCAAGAAACTTTTGGGTCTGCTGTGTAAAATGAGCTGAGGAAGGGAGAAGGGGTAAAAGAGGGGTGTCATTGAATTGTATCCCCAATCCAGACGGACATTTGCCATCAGAGCATCTTTTATTGCCCCAATTATATCAATAAGAAGAGGAAGGCATATTTACAATAATAAAGGTGGGATATAAATAATGGTGGGGTCCTGATCCTCTTTGATCTTGGGTGGTTTCCTTGCAGACGTTTCATTACCCAGCTAGGGAACATCATCAGTGCTAGGAGGGAGACCCTACGGGCATTGATGATGTTACCTAATTGGGTAATGAAACCTCTGCAAGAAAACCACCAAGCTCAGAGAGCATCAAGGACCCTCAGTCCTCTTCTTCTTCCTCTTCTTCCTCTTTCTCTCCCACTCTGCAAAACCCGCTCACTTCTAGAACTGGTGATGTTACTCAGTTGGGTAACGAAACATCTGCAAGGAAACAGCCAAGTTTAGAGAGCACCAAGGACCCTATGGGTCCACCCTGAGCTGCAAATATTCTCTTCCATTGGAAATAAATAGAAGATAGAAAGATAGATAGATGCTAGAAAGAAAAGAAAGAAAGAAAGAAAGAAAGAGAGAGAGAGAGAGAAGAAGGAAGGAAGGAAGAAAAAGAAAGGAAGGAAGGAAGGAAGAAAAGAAAGAAAGTTCATTATCCAACTAAAGAACATCTTCTTCGTAGAACTGATGATGTTACCCAGTTGGTAATGAAACATCTGCAAGAAAACAATCAGGTTTAGAGATGGATCCACCCTGAGCTGCAAATATTCTCTTCCATTGGAAATAAATAGATGATAGATAGATAGATGCTAGAGAGAAAGAAAAAAAGAAAGAGAGAAAGAGAAAGAGAAAGAAAGAAAGGAAGGAAGGAAGGAAGGAAGAAAAGAAAGAAAGAGAGAGAGAGAGAGAAAGAAAGAAAGTTCATTATCCAACTAAAGAATATCTTCTTCGTAGAACTGATGATGTTACCCAGTTGGTAATGAAACATCTGCAAGAACACAATCAGGTTTAGAGATCACCAAAGACCCCATGGATCCACCCTGAGCTGCAAATATTCTCTTTCATTGGAAATAAATAGATGATAGATAGATAGATGCTAGAAAGAAAAGAAAGAAAGAAAGAAAGAGAGAAAGAGAAAGAGAAAGAAAGGAAGAAAGGAAGAAAGAAAAGAAAGAAAGAAAGAAAGATAGTTCATTACTCAACTAAAGTAGAACTGATGATGTTACCTCGTTGGGTAATAAAATGTCTGCAAGAAAACCACCAAGCTTAGAGAGCACCAACGACCCCTCATGTCAACCCTCAACTACAAATATTTTCTTTTATGGATAACAGAATTTGTTTCCCAGTAAATATGTTGATTATGTCAATAAGTTTTCTAAGCTATGGTGTTTTTTTTTCTGTGCCGGAGTTTCAGAATTGTACTTTAAAGGGTCCGTTCAATTGACTCTGAATGGGTGGACTTAACTGATTGCTAATCAATGCATCTGACATCCCCCTGAATGGGAGATTTTCCTGCTTGCTTGTTGCCTAATTTTACAGCACTCAAACTATTCTTGCTGCACTTGTTAAATTGTTGTTGATATGTTCCCTTTCCCCTTAAACTACCGCACAGCATAATTTTTGATAGCTGATGTTGAGAAGTTAATAATAAGGGCTGAGACCAGGTAAGCAGAAAGAAATGGCTTTTCATGCGTATTCATATGCCATTTAAAGGGAAGCTTGGCTGAGAAATAAAAAAAAAAGTCGCAGTGCATCGCAAAGTTCGGTAACACTTTCACTACTTCTTTGGGCTGTTAATATTTAAAGGTTCACCCTGCTTCTTTCTTTTTTCCCCTCTTTCTTCCACAGACGAATGATATTGTCTACTACAATGCAAAAGAAGACCTGAATGATGTAAGTAACGTTTTGGAAAACAACTCTGAAAAAGCTGCAACTCCCTTAACACTACCATTTTCATTGGGGTCCTTGGTGCTCTCTGAGCTTGGTGACTGTAAACATTTCATTACCAAACTAGGGAACAACACCAGGGCAAACCCCACTCCCTGCCAACACTGATGATGTTCCTTGGACAGAATTGAACACTGGGCGCTGTCTAACAAAATGAAATTCAATGGTGAAAAAAGTAAAGTGCTACATTTAAGCAAGAAAAACCAGATGCACAGATATAATATAGGGGGTACCTTGCTCAATAGTAGTAACTGTGAGAGGGACCTCGGAGTCCTAGTGGACAATCATTTAAATATGAGCCAGCCATGTGCTGCAGCTGCCAAAAAGGCCAACACAGTGCTGGGCTGCATTAACAGAGGGATAGAATCAAGATCATGTGAAGTGTTAATACCACTTTACAAGGCCTTGGTAAGGCCACACTTGGAATACAGCATCCAGTTTTGGTCACCGTGATGTAAAAAAGATGCTGAGACTCTAGAAAGAGTACAGAGAAGAGCAACAAAGATGATTAGGGGACTGGAGGGTAAAGCATATAAGGAACAGTAGCTGGAATTGGGGATGTCTAGTTTAATGAAGAGAAGGACGAGGGGGGACATGATAGCAGTGTTTCAATATCTCAGGGGCTGCCCCAAAGAAGAGGGAGTCAAGCTATTTTCCAAGGCGCCAAGAAGCAATGGGTGGAAACTAATCAAGGAGAGAAGCAACCTAGAACTAAGGAGAAACTTCCTGACAGTTAGAACAATTAACCAGTGGAACAATCTGCCTCCAGAAGTGGTGAATGCTGGAAGTTTTGCAGAAGAGACTGGACAGCCATTTGTCCAAAATGGTATAGGGTTTCCTGCCTGAGCAGGGGGTTGGGCTAGATGACCAAGGTCCCTTCCAACTTTATTATTATTATTATTGTTGTTGTTGTTGTTGTTGTTATTGTTATTACTACTACTACTACTACTACTACTACTACTACTACTACTACTATTACTACTACTACCTAGTTGGGCAATGAAACATTTGCAAGAAAACCACCAAGCTCAGAAAGCACCAAGGATCTCACAGTTCAACTCTGAGATACAAATATTCTCTTATATTAGTACTACCAGTTTCATTTTGCTTCCTTTGGAGAGACACCCCCCCCAAAAGCCTCAACAAATTCCTATTAAAATGCTCTGTGAAAACAGAAGATTTAAAGTTATCTTGCAGGAGACACAGGAGAGGAGCACAATCCCTTGCGTGGGTAGAATGCTGGGCAGGAGGTTAGCAAGCCCGCGTTTGAGACCCAAGTGCTGCCGTGGGCTGGGTGAGCTCCTGTGCTTCGCTCCAGCTCCTGCTGGGGACACGATAGGAGCCTCCAACTGGGTGTCCCCTAGGCAACGGTGATGTCACCAGCTGACCCTTTCAATCTGGAAGTGCTTAGGTGCTTCTGACAGGGTCTAGGCCAGAGGTAGGCAACCTTGGCTCTTTTATGACTCGTGGACTTCAACTCCCAGAATTCCTGAGCCAGCATGGCTCAGCATGGAAACCTATCCCTTCCCCTCAGCATGGCTGGCTCAGGAATTCTGGGAGTTGAAGTCCACGGGTCATCAAAGAGCCAAAGTTGCCTACCTCTGGCCTAGGCCTAGGCTGCTTTATGACTCATGGACTGCTAGGGCAGGGGTAGGCAACCTTGGCTCTTTTATGACTCGTGGACTTCAACTCCCAGAATCCCTGAGCCAGCCACGCTGAGGAGAAAGGGAGAGGTTTCCATGCTGAGCCATGCTGGCTCAGGAATTCTGGGAGTTGAAGTCCACGAGTCATAAAAGAGCCCTGGATTCTATGACAATTCGCATTGGCCATTTTGCTGCGATCAACTTGCCACAGCCCACTCATTGCAGGACAAGGGTTCCATGAACATTAAAGAAATAGAATCACTGAAAAATGGATGCGACACGGGGTCAGAACGAAATGTGAATGGTCACAATTAAAATATTTTTTAAATTTTATTTTAAATAATTAAATAGAATTGTTAAATGATCCCTCGCGAATTGTCCCACGGTGAGTTGGCGAGTTGACTGTGGCAAGTTGGCCTTGTCCCATCTCTCTTCTTGACATGAGTGCGATGAGATGAGACACAGCCACAATACATTCCAAGCGGTTTCCCAGCATAACGCCTTGAAAGCTTTGCATTGTGTGGTCTATCGCTTTTAGGAGAACCAAACTGGGCACTTCAGAAGATGGTTGAGAAATAAACAGATATTCTAAAGCAGCCTATAAACCTGAAAAATAAATAAATTTCAGAAAAAAAACACAAGAAGTCTTGTGTTTGGGGTGGTTTCCTCTCTTGTATTTGGAACGAGCTGTTTGCTGCTAAACTGTTCCACTGGGAGTGGTTCTTTTAATATTGAATAGTAGGTTAATTTTTTTAATTATACACATAAATAGGTTCCAGTGTGAACTAGACTTCCTGCAAGTGCACTGTCTCATTGTATGGTTGACCCATAAGGGGAAAGTTTTGCAAAACCAAACCAAAAGGAACAGAACAGAATTTCACAGAGTATTAATCCTAATCCAGATGTAATTAGGTAGTACATAAAATGTCTTGTTCGAGAACATTCGGACCTGAACATTCAGGTGAGGCTGATTACCAAGTTAGGACATGCTATTATGGGTATGTTTGCACAACTGTAGAAAAAAGTCAACCCCCAACTGGTAGTTGGAAAGATTTATAGTCTTTAAAATAATAATAAAAAACCACCCCAAGCCACAGGCTTTGTTTCATATATGCTGCATGCGGTCCTCCAAGCTTAAAACCAATTCTGCATTTTCTTTCCTGCAGGGAGGAAATAAAAAATTGTTCTTTCAATCAGATCAGTCTGTTAGAGTGGTTCATGGGGCCATCACACCCACCTCTTAATGCAGGGGTCTTCAAACGTGGCCCTTTTATGATTTGTGGACTTCATCTCCCAGAATTCCTCAGCCAGGCATGTGTGCCTGGCTGAGGAATTCTGGGAGTTGAAGTCCACAAGTCATAAAAGGGCCATGTTTGAAGACCCCTGTCTTAATGTAACCCTTCTCCTTCTCCTTCTCTTTCTCCTTCTCTCCTTCTCTCTCTTTCTCTCAGCTTATGGAGATTGTCTATTTTCTGAGACTCTCTATCCTCTCTTTTATAAATTCTTTCCTGATGTGGGAAGGAAAATCATATTTCCCTTACGTTACATCTAACCAAAGGTCCTTGCAGGACAGTGATGGCAAACCTTTTAGAGACTGAGTGCCCAAACTGCAACCCAAAACCCACTTATGCATCGTCGAGTGCTGGGTGGGTGTGGCCCATTGGGTGGGTGTGGCCCATTGGGTGGGTGTGGCCCATTGGGTGGGCGTGGCCCATTGGGTGGGCATGGCTGCGGTGCTAATGGCAGACTGGGTGGGACTAAAAAGTTCAATCAATCAGTTCCAACTTTGCAAGTTCTTTTTTTTTCCCCCCGCAAGAAGTTGAAATTGATTGATTGAACCTTTTATTTTTAGGCGGTGGAGGCCTAAAGTGAAAAGGTTTTATAAAACCCAGCTGAAGGCCTAGGACTGGGGCGATGGCGCGTGTGCCCACAGAGAGGGCTCTGAGTGCCGCCTCTGGCACCCGTGCCATAGGTTCACCACCACTGTTGTAGGACCTTGATGTCAGAAGACAAAAGGATTGGATTTAAATATTACTGTTGGAGGTTGTGATGCAAATTATAGGTAGAATCCTTTACCTGATGATCTCATGACAGACCTCATTTTGACATCACAGTTTGTCATGACAGCTGCCATGTCTACATTGTACAAGAGCAGCACCCAGGGATATAGGACTGCAACTCCAATTATTTAGAGTTTGACAGTTTTTGTTTTAAAGTTGGAAATTATTTTCCCCTCCCAACAACGCAGCCTGCTATTTTAAAATACGATGTGGGCGGATAAACTAATAGCAAAGTTTCTGTAAAAAAAACTTTAGTCAGATCACCACGCTTCATTTGCACCTAGCTGTAAAATGGGATTTCAGATGGATCGTATCTCTGTGGCATGTGATGCTGATGCCAGATAATTAAAGAAGTAGCGAGCAAGAAAGCAAGGTAATTATAGAAATATGAATTGCAGAGTGGACATGGAAAATTAGATGCGATGTAGATGCAGGAAACTTTTTTAAAGAGCTGTCCAAAGTCATCTTTTTAATTAATTAAGGAGCTCAGTTTTTCTTCCTTTTTCAAGAAAAGTAGTGAAGCTTTATGCAAATAAGATATTCATGCAAATGTCTAAAAAAGATCGTGTGATTTAAAGCACTTTCTGATATATACTGTAACAGAATAACAGAGTTGGAAGGGATCTTAGAGGTCTTCTAGTCCAACTCCCTACTCAAATAGGAGACCCTATACCAGAGGTAGGCAACCTTGGCTCTTTTATGACTCGTGGATTTCAACTCCCAGAATTCCCGAGCCAGCCATGCTGAGGGGAAAGGGAGAGGTTTCCAAGCTGAGCCATGCTGGCTCAGGAATTCTGGGAGTTGAAGTCCATGAGTCATAAAAGAGCCAAGGTTGCCTACCCCTGGCCTAGGCCGCTTTATGACTCGTGGACTTCAACTCCCAGAATTCTTGAGCCAGGCACACTGAGAGGAAAGGGAGAGGTTTCCAAGCTAAGTCATGCTGGCTCAGGAATTCTGGGAGTTGAAGTCCACGAGTCATAAAGCAGCCTAGGCCTAGGCCAGAGGTAGGCAACCCTGGCTCTTTTATGACTCGTGGACTTCAACTCCCAGAATTCCCGAGCCAGCCATGCTGAGGGGAAAGGGAGAGGTTTCCAAGCTGAGCCATGCTGGCTCAGGAATTCTGGGAGTTGAAGTCCATGAGTCATAAAAGAGCCAAGGTTGCCTACCCCTGCCCTATATCATTTCAGACAAGTCCAGTCTCTTCTTAAAAGCTTCCAGTGATGGACTCACCACCTCTGAAGGC